CGTGGGCGACCAGCATCACTAGTCGCCCACTCCTTCAGGTGGTATCTTACCCCTCGAAAGGGAGTTAACACCTGTTTACTTAGGCCATATCCAGCATCTCCTAGAACGTAAAAGTGTTCTGGTAATTGGTCGAGCAGAGAACTCCATCGTAGTACAGTCACATCATGCGCACTTCCCTCAGCTCCCGCATAAGCAAAACAAATTTTCATACTCCAGCTACAAAACAGTAGCACATTGGTCGTGACAAAACCCTTGTGGTTTCTAAAGCGCGCTGTATCCTCAGTTCTCACAACCACTTGAAAGTGCGTTCCATCAATTGCCCCCAAGGCCTGGTGATAATAGGGGTGCTTCAACAAGAAAAACGATGGAACCTGCTTAGGTATCTCCATCGAGCTGTTTATCGCTCGCAAAATCGCTCGAATACCTCGGATTCTATACTTGTGAATCGTAGAAAACGTTAGATCAAATAGCACCTCTTGCATGCGGCATGTAGATGCCGTTCCAATCCAGTGGAGAGCCACCGCCAGTACCTCACGTTGGTTGCGGACGGTGTCAACGATGAACGGTTGGCAGAGCTCGAACAATGCGTCAAATGCGGCCACGTCCATCCTGAAGTGATCCCGAAACAGGAAGGAATTTCTCGATGAGTGAATGGCGTCAAAGAACCGCTGTCCGTCTGCCGTCATCAGACCTAGTACGCGCACCATATTCTCGTGAGCAGCCCACCTCGACAAGCGGTGGTTCTGCACCAGTCGAGCACACACAACAGCAACAAGCAACAGGAAGATTTCGTCCAGCATTTTTTGTGAAGAGGCAGTCCGTTTGTCCAGGTGTGGGTGGTCAGGGTAAACGCTGGTTGCGTGCGAACAAGAACTGAGCGAAACGACGTTTCACATCGCTGGCCAAATCATCGTCAAAAATAGATTACAACTCTGAAACGCAGTTTTAGTAAAACGTCGTTTGCCGCGAACACGGCCTATGACATCCACAAGATACCGTGCAGTCATAGAAGCTCGCTCGTATACGCCCAGTCGAGAGTGCATCAGGTCGCAGTATGACTCGAACGCCCGTTGAACTGCTACGTGTTTGCGTAGTTTGAACGGAGCCAGCACATAATTTAGCCAGATGCGCTACGGGAAACTATGGGCGGTGATGGCCCGTATCTTTTTATTGCGCGGAGTGGCGTGAGAAGTGATGGCTGTGAGGCCTACGCGCCGAAGCGGGTCGTGGCATTTATTTAGCAGAGTGTGCGGTGTGACGGCCACATAACCTAGGTAGCTTTTATTATTTGCAAGTGCGAGTCACAACAAAGTTTAAAGCTGTAGGTAAGATAACTGTCAAGAATGTCTGGTAGATTGCCTATGCGCTAATCCAAGCGGTCACTAAAGCGATTTACCAAACGTCTTTCAAGAAGATAGCAGTGTCCAGAATGCTTCGCCAACTACCCTCGCCGATTGCTTCTGCGCTAATCTAAGCGGTCACTAAAGCGATTTACCAAACGTCTTTCAAGAAGATAGCAGTGTCCAGAATGCTTCGCCAACTACCCTCGCCGCCGTCTCCCTCACTGTCGTCCTCTCAAAATGTTGCAGCCACTCAGCTCTCCGCTTGCGACTCTAGTGCCGTGACGCCCAGCGAGTGTGAGGAAGACTCGCAAGTTTCAGAGTCTCTACGTGTTGTTGACGCTCCAGTTTTGTAAAATCTCGCTCAAGATCAACATTGACGAGGCTGCTTCCAGTAAAGAGAATACAGCGCCTGCGTCCAGTCAAGAGCGAGCTGCACATGTGTCCAGTCAAGACGACGTTCGTGGAGACGAGAGCGAAGAGGACGAAGATGAACCTCTCGAGGACAGTGACGACACACTTTGTTTAGTCAAAATGATACTTGTCTCCAAACTAATACTACGTTAGAAAATGATACTTATGGCACCATGTCACTAATATGAAACTGTGAAAAAAAACTTACGCACATGTTCCAGTAACAATTAGAATAAACGGACATCACCATTGGCTCCGCGCGACAAATTTACGTCTGAGCGTCAAATAAAAAAGAATCTCATTTTCAAACGAGATACTATTTTTGGCGGCTCATAACTCAGTGAGATCTCTGTTCTGGAAGCTAACCAGGTGCTCAAAAGATAGAAGACACGCCCCTCTTTCCTGTGGTGTGCTTAAATCGCGATTCGTACTTAGGTTCGCTAGCATTATTTTGTTTGACGCGGTCTCATTTTATTAGAAATCAACCAAAAATACGAATGATGGAAGATGTTGGTATATCCTGCTAGATTTTATATATATCGGTAAATTTATATGCGTGGAGCTGCAAAAAAACAGCTCAAACCATCGATTCGAACTGATGATTGTAGAAGACCATTCATTTGAAATTTGTATCAGGCGTTAAAAAAATTAAGTTGCGTCCACCAAAGACGCCCCTAATAAATCTCTATCGTGCTGCGTAGCCGTTGCACTATCAGGATAAGGGAAACGCCACAAATACCGCGAACCGGAAAGCTTCGTCAATGAAGAACTTCTTATAATCAATACCGCCATGTCGGTAGGACGTGTCGGAAATGTAGCTGTGCTGATAGGCATATTATAATACCATAGTGGCAACTCTGTACGTGACAACTGATGTATGTATTCACGGGACCAAAACGCAAAGTAAATTTAGGTACACCAAAGTGCCCTATTTTAAATTTGGGCACCTTGAGGCTGCACTCGTTTTGTTTGTTACAGCGGGCTTTTATCTCACTGGTAGTTACTGGAGGAAAATATCATCCCCAATATATCATGCTACCCAAGCACTATTTTGTTTAGTTTAATTTTTTTCTGTGAGAGACACCTACAATTCTAGAGCACAACACAAAACTTATTTCTCATTACTATATTATTGCCTCTCTCCTCACTCATTTATTTACTATTGCTGTGCAAAAACAGCAATACATTTCTTTTTTCTATTGTCCGAGCACTGGTGTCACCTCCATTGTTATCTTTTTTTCAAGAAGGCACACTAAATTTATTTAGTCCGGCTAATGGCGTTGCTATTTTGGGAAGGTCTCTAAGAGGAGCCTTGGATGCCCTTAATTTGTTGGTACAACTTAACGTCCTATTTCTAGATTTTGGTACCACGATCTACTTTTTCCTCTGTATTTTATGTTGGCCGACCTCTGGAATAAAAGATGAAGGTGCGGTATACTCAACAGCTTCAGCCAGTCCACTTATATTTCATCTACCATTACGTGTAATCCGCACCCTTTTATTTATTATAGTTAAAGAGAAATAGCGCTCGTTATATTTTGTAAATAAGCAGTAGGATGCGTGTCGATGTACACCTACATGACATGCATGGGCAGCAGTGGAGCTAATAGTTTGATGTGTTAGAGAATTAAGTCCGGCTTGGTTGGAGTGCCCTCAACTTGAGGACACGCAGACCTGATGCAATGGGGACAATTATAATACTTCATCTCATATTGACAATGCCGTGTTTAAAAGTTTATCAAACCTTTATCAATTATTGTACGAGCTGATTAGTTTGTCTCTTAATTTGTGCCGCTTAATCGTTGGTAGATAACGACTCAACAAAAATAAAGTACGTTCAACAAATTTAAACTGGAGTGTAAAAGAGAGTTGGTAGCAGGGTGATGACCGCCACCGCTGGATGGCAACTTAGGGCCAACCTCTCAGCTGGGGGCAAAAACTATCTACTGTCTATGGGTTTATTTCATGTAAAGGAGCAGGCGTCCGATACACCACCCTCTTTAAGTAATGATTTGTGTTTTGTGTTTAATAAAAAGGGTAATGAAGTGTGAAAACCTACATAATCTACGGCGCGCCAGCTTTTAAGTCCATTAATTTAGCAGTCAAATCACATCATCGTTGCCAGGTCGGGATAGCGGCTGAATCTGCTCAGTACTGGTACCGTATGCCGCAAAGACGTCGGACATTCGGGCCGATATATAGCTAAATCTGTTGTGCCATTATTAAAATAGCCGATTTAGCTCTAAATCGACCCTAACGTCCTCCTTCGTCACATAGGGTTCAAGAACACAAACCGCGGTATAAATCAAAGTAAGCTCTCGTAAAACCATGTGACACGTATCTAATTTAGCTTTTATATGCTGCTTAATTGAATTAAGACCCTGAAACCGGGTATTTAAAAATTCAATTAGACAAACTATCGGTTTTTACAATATTGGCAATTTTTATCGAGGTCGGTACATATCTTAACAATCAAACGCTGAGCGCAAACTTGCAAACTCTTGGATTAATCCCATATGCTGCTGGTTCGTGCCGTCGTACTTCATTGTCTTACCAGTAACTCCGTCGATGGACTCTAATAATCACGCGTGCAGCCTGCACGGGTGATTACTGCAGCGTCGTCTGGTATCAGAAACTCCGTCGATGGCCTCTAATAATAATCACGCGTGCAGCGTCGACACAGAATCACGTACCGGTATGCCCATGGCTGGTACATACATTTCCTGCAACGTGTTATCAACGATGCTTCACCTACAACGACCCGTGCAGACCCGTTATGGACAAAAGTTGCAGTTGCACCATGCAACTCTGAAGGGTGAACCCTTCAGATACTGCGACTGTGCTTGGGGAGGGAGTACCAATATTCAGCGAATACTGCGGATACATGTACATGTTGGCAAACAGTGCATGTAGCCAAAAGCGCAAATCCGAACTGGTTGACGATCTACAGTGTAGTACATGTATATCGATGTTGCCTGTCGTGGAATTGAATATGGCTTATCCCCCGCCAAACAAATAGGGTTCATCGCCACCCCACACGTTTTCAAATCGGTTCGATCCGAAGCTCAAGGTGTTGAGTATTTTTAAGTGAAGAGCCATGTATCGATTCGATTCATCGAATCCCGCTGTCGCCCGCTGGCTAACAGCACACAAGACTCGATCACGATAGAAATGTGTAAACGTTTAGATCATTCTGGTTTTCGCCGCTTACTGCACACCGCATTCCAAGCATCACCAACAAAAAATATGAGAGTCGTACCTACCCTAGCTGCTGCATCGCTCGCTCTTGGAGCCGTCGCCGGCGAGCACGTTGAGCGTCAGCTTATTCTCGGAGGAGGTGAAGTCCCTATTGGTACGAAGACGTACGCTACCGGTATTCGCTCCACTGCCGACGGTAACGCTTTCTGCGCTGGTGCTCTCGTCTCTCCTACGCATGTGCTTACTACCGCTGCCTGCACGGGCTTCGAGCCGCCTAAGTTTGTGGCTGTGGGAACGCACTACATCAATGGCACGAAGGACGGAGAGCAGATTAAGGTCGTGTCCGCTCAGAACCACACACTTAACAATGCCTCCAGCGCGTCATACGATTTTGCATTGCTGACGCTAGAGAAGCCCAGCAAGTTCAGCCCGATCAAACTCCCCAATCCCGACGACTCGGATATCGTTGCAGGCATGTGGACCAAGGTCATGGGCTGGGGTGACACCAGCTACCCCAACGGCACCCGTTCCAACGAGCTCCAGAGTGTTGGCGTTGAAGTGTGGAACAACGAAGACTGCGCTCGGCTATTCGTCGTGGACAACTCGTCTGTCTGTGCTGGCGGTGCTCCTGGTAGAGACGCGTGTGTCGGTGACACGGGTGCTTCGCTCGTCAAGGAAAAGGGCCAGGGTGACGCTGATGATATTCTGATTGGGCTGTCGAGTTGGGGATCTGGCTGTGGTGATCCGGGGATTCCCAGTGTGTACTCGCGTGTGTCGACCGCTATTGAATGGATCACCTCAGTGACCAAGGTCCAGCAAGTCTAATGCTTGTCCGTTGATCTCGTGGCGTTGCGCCCACCCAATTAAAAACAAAAACAATCTAGAGACTTGACAGTGACTCATTTTCAGCTACATGCTGCCGCGCATTGTTACGTAAGTTTTAGAGATACTAATAATACATGAATTGATACTGGGAGAACAGCTTGTTGTAGCTGGACAGCCTAACCAATCTTGCCCCCCCCCCCCCCCGACAGTAATTCGCGAATATCGCCGGAGTTCAAAGTCCACCGATTCTGACTATCCAAACACAATTATTTTTGGAAGTCTGGTGACTCGTGGTCTTCGTAAAGTGGCCTTAAAAACGAATTCTCTACATGTACTACAGTAGTATTTTGTAGAAATCGTTGATGATTCTCTGTTTTTTTCTCAACTTCTTTTAAAAATATATATATTCGAAGTAGTACGTAACTTCCAAGCAAGAGTAGCTACTTGTACTACTTCGAAGTATTTAGTACTACAGCAGTACTACGGTACGTTTTTTTAATGTACCAAATCTTTTTTCGCTGACGAATGGCTTGATTCGAAAATAGAAAAGTTAGCCCGTCCACGTTCTTGTCGCTGATAGCACAGCAACAAGGTTGGCACATTTAGTAAAAAAAAAGCGTGAAAATGCCAACATTTTCACGCGGGATTCAAAACAAACATATACTTAAAATTTTACCACTCTGGTTCACTTTACAATCGACACTTCACTTTTCATGCCATTAAATGATTCAGACTTTTTTGCTCCTGAGATTCTACTCTATCATGTGACATCATTCGCTGTCCAGAGCAGCTAAAATTGGGGCAACAAAGATTCATTTTCCGTCGATGATTTTTCTAGTGTAGTGTGGCTAAACAGATTAATTCGGATGAAACCGGTAATTGAAGCAAGCCGGTAGTCGAAACCGGTAAACTTACGAATCTAAAATCCTAGACAGTCCCCTCGCTAGTAATCCCTAGCTTTGGAATACACCCTCGTTACAGTCGCTCCCCCGGCATACATACTTAAGTTAATTTCCCACCACCCCTCAGTTGTAAAAATGAATACAAGTTAAGGCAAAATTTCCAAATGTTGGGATGCTTAGCTAGGCGAAATTCCTAATTGTACAGGACCACCGAAGGGGTTCCAGTAAATAGTACACTGTTAGAGCTCCCAGATCGAAATACGTCATAAATATACAGCCTGTGGTGTCTTGGCTTGTTTGTCCATACCGTCAAAATTCCAACTGTCCGACCGGGTTCCAACCTGATACCGGTACGGTCTGCCAGTTAAAAATCGGACTTTGTGCGGTACATGTATTACACATTTTAAAAACAAAATTAAAAAACGGCACCCCTCTTGTCCAGGTTTTATCACTCAGGTATTGTCCAGGTATACCGGCAGGTATTGTCCAGGTAGAGTTTTACGGTTTAAATTACTCTCATTTTCTTCTTTTGATTCCTATCCACCAGTTAGGGAGACACGTGGCAGCCCCCCCCCCCACGCACCGAGGATGGCACGCACGCACAAGACTGCCCAGATCAAGGCGAAGATGGCAGAGCAAGAGCGTGTGGCCGAGGAAGCTCGTCAGGCTAACCTCGCTCTCTTGCGTGCGGCGCGTACGCGCTCAGAGAGAGCACACGCCAGAGAAATCATGGAGACATCTCTCCCTAGCCCAACTGAAGTAGCAGAGGACAGCAATGCTCAAGAGCGAGTGGAGGAGGCAACAGAAGACGTCGCAGATGAAGGAGGAGATGGTGAGGAAGGGCAGGGAGGTGTGGACACGTTGAGTGAAGCAAAGAAGACTACGGGCGATGAAGAGGACGATTCGGTGGCAGATGAAGAGGATGCAGAGGAGGAGAAGGTCGCTTCAGGCGAAGGGGAAGAGGGTGAAGTGGAAGAAGATGAAGTGGAGACGGAACCAACGAGAAAGCGTCGTCAAGGAAAGAAAAGAACCGTCTCCGATGTCGAAGAAGAAGAGCTGGTTCAGGTCCCTGTATTTAAGGCGCATCATGATTCGTGGGCCTCGCTGGAGCAGTCTCTCAAGGAATACATGGAGGCGACGCGCCAAAAAATCGTGGTGAAAGAGGTGATCAATGTAGCCCGCAGGAATGCTGATCTTCGGCGCCAAGTGCGGTACCAAGGGCTTCCTGACTCAGAGTTGCCTCTCGTCCCTGCAGAGATGGAACCTTATCAGCGCAAGTTTATCTGTACGCATGGGTGGTCCGAACGTGACAGATCAACGGGAAAGCGATCAAGGCTCAATACGATGTTGCTACGGATGCTGCTGCTGCTAACAACTACACGTTTATCGACAATGGCACTACTGTCATTGTCAGCGGTGGTCAACGTGAGTATCTTATCGAGAAAGAGGGTTACTTGTGCGACTGTGAGTTTGCTCAGACCATGAAGCTTCCCTGCAGACACGTCATGATGTACCGAAAGCGCTGTGGCAATCCATTCATTATCCCGCTCTCGACAATTGCGCCAAGGTATGTCGACTTTGCGTCCAGGTATTGGCCATGTTTTCATCAGGTATTAACCAGGTATGTGTTTTGCAGGTGGTTTGGTCAAAGCCGGCTCTCGCAACAGGAGTTGACAGAGGTGGCGGCACCGTTTGTGGCTAAGATATACAAAGCCCATTTACAAGCTGCTGGTGGAAGGTTGAGTGAAGCGGAGAAATACAGTCGTGCTCAGCAGGCACTTAGTCGCATCAGTGGTGAGCTTGCGAGGTTCGAAGACGATGCCTTCGCTAATGCGATGTCGCAGTTGGATCAATGGTGGTACAATATGAGGAATGGACAACCCATGGCAGAGCATTCTGCCCCCAATCGAGACGGTGACAACAGACATGATGATGACAACTCGGATGGAGGAGCAGGTGAAAGTGGAGCAGGGGTGGATTCTGAGCAGCAGCAAGATACTGAGGCTAGCGATGCGAATGCGGCTACCAAGGATGATTCCGACGACGTACCGCCGACTCAGGTGGCTGGTCCTGCGACTCAAGCAGCAGAGATGTCTACGACCGCAGCCCAACCACCAAAAATCAAGCTGAATGGTAAGGTCAGAAGGGCCGGGCGACCTCATTTGAATCGTACGGCAATGAAAGTGAAGGCGTCGTTAGCACTAAAAGAGTACAATATCGGGATGAAACTACGCGCTCTTTTAAGAGATAACGACGTCTGCGATGTGGTGTCTACTCTATGGATGATCATGCCTGGTGTTCGCGAAGTTGGGTCTTTTCTTACTACCTTTCCAGTCAACAAGAATGGTGAGGGAAGGTCAATTCAGTGGCGCGTCGACGGAGATTACGTGCCAGATCGAGTGCGATTCCGGCTAGTCGAATCGCTTGTTGATGATGCGTTGGATAAGTTGAGGGGCGGATTGGCGCTAGATGAAGAAATTGAGTTGGACAGTGACGGTGAACAAATGGGCAGCATTGAGAGTTACGTGGTGTCAATTGAAAAAGTTGGTCAGTTCACCAGAGAGCAACTGGAAGCTATGAATCCTTGTGGGGGCTACAAGATACTTGTCGCAATGCTGCTCTTTGCTGTACCTGGTTGAATAGCACTGTTAAACCCGCGGTCAGTGACCCCGCTTCAGCGGGTATTATAATGGGAAAGATACTGGAGTGTTGGCCGTATACACCGCTGGTTGGGCTCGGATTCGACCTGACGTACAACAATCTATTTTGCTTTCGAGATTCCGCTTGGATAAACGATAATGCCATGCGTGCTTTTGCGGTTTGTCTCGCACGGTACAAGAAAAATTGTACAGTCGTCATTCCGCCCCCAAAAAAAGCCAAAGATGCCAAGAATGGAACCCAACCAAAGGCCACCAAAAGTCGTATCTCTACAAGCACGCTCGACAAAGTTGGTGAAAGTGTTGCCTCGCACCAATTCGTGCTTCTTCCTATCAATTTTGGTGGCACGCATTGGGGATGCCTCGTGGTTGACCGAGACACCAAGGTTATCAAGATGTACGACAGCATGGGCGGTAAGAGAAACAAGAAACGGCTGCAGAAGATGGCTGAAGAAATCCGTACTGGGCCTCTACGTGACGATTCCTACGAAGCTTTGGAAGTAACCGAGCCGGTGCAAACGGACAGTGACAGTTGCGGTGTGTTTGTGTGCCGGTTTTTCTGGACTTGCGTGAGCAGCGAATCCCCCAGCGATGTGTCCCCAGCTGGTATAACGAAGCTGAGGTGGGAGATGCTGCACGCAGTCATGAAGTTGAGGCCGCGCCAGTTATTCGTGCATCCGTCAGTGCAACATGCATGCAAGCACTAACGGTTTTAATACATGGTCAATTCTTGGGCAAAACCTGGACAATGACTGTATGGTGCAGAAGTCGATAATGGTACATTCGTGGTACGCCACCATGAGCGTGAACGCCGACACACCGCAGCGGCCATCACTCTAGAATTTTTCTAAGTAGCGCACACATGATTTACCCAGGTTTTAAAACCTGTAAAATACCTGGGTAAACGGTGAAGAAAACGATTGGTTGCGGTGAGCTCCGACGTCGACTGCCTACGATCATTTCCACTTTAGCCTAAGTCGTGCACACATGAGTATCCCAGGTTTTATACCTGGAAAATACCTGATTTGGTCATTTAAGTTCCCGAATGTAAATTACCAAATCTGATTCCGTTATCTATAAGGAAACCTGGGCGAAACCTGGCCCCCTAGCTGGACTATCCATGGAGAATCAGATTTCTGAGTATTTTTTCAATCTGGGAAATCTGGACGCTAAGGTCGTCCTTAAAAAATCCCTTCTCTCTGAGGGCCCACAGCCATTCTACAAACCACGGCCACGAACGCGCAGCGGTGAGGGCGGAGCGCAATTTTACGGCCCTCCTGCGACCATAAGGCCTCGGTCGCACCTCTACGCGCGCGGCATAACTACCAGGGACTCACGCCACACTACTCCCGCCGTTGCCGTCCCCGTAGATGAATCATGAGAAGTGAAATAACCCGTAAGGGCGAGCGGAATGCTGCTGGATGCGGCCGAAGACTATCTA